GGGCATAACCACTGAATATAAGGTTAGCAGCAGTTTCTCTGCTTGAGGTAGTAGCAGAGGTGGGGCCAAGTCGTTGTTTTGCAAGTCCCAAGTAAGTTTCAAGTCTTTGACCTCAAGTCCAAGTCAAGTCCCAAGTCAAAGACAAGTCACTCGAGTCTCGAGTCTCGGGCCCATAAGTCTAAATTAAGTCCAAGTCGTCTGCTTTGAGTTTTGAATAATTTCAAGTCTTTAAACCAAAGTAGCTTAGATTTTTGCAATTAATATGAATTTTAAACTAAATTGTACTTCAGGTCATTTTTCTATATAAGTTTTTATATGAGTTGCAGAAATGTAAATAAATGTCTTGTCAAAATGTTCGTGTGAGTCACTACAGTCAGAATAGAAAGAATTAAGATTTAACTGTGTTAAAGAACAGTTATTTTGTTATGAGTCTGAAATGGAAGGATCATGTTTTATGTAGTTCCCTCTGTTTTACTGCATTGTACTGTATATTACTTTAGTACATTTGACTATACCACTTCACAGTACTTCAGTTCCATCCAAAGTACCAAACAGAGAAGTGGGAGGGACATGATTCAGTTTCTTCCTGTAAAATTAAGCACCACATGCATCAACTGTAAAGAGAAAAGCATTTTCTAAAAACATATTTTTAGGAAAAGTATCAGGACTTCTCAAGTCACAGGGCTCAAGTCCAAGTCAAGTCCCAAGTCATCGACCTTCAAGTCCAAGTAGAGTCCCAAGTCTTAGTCCATTTTATCAAGTCAAGTCTCAAGTCATAAAAATATTGACTCAAGTCTGACTTGAGCCCAAGTCATGACTTACAAGTCCCAACCTCTGGGCAGTACCATCGGCTTGTGCAAAGGGTGTGAAGTGATCAACTATCATTAATATATATTCGTCGAGATGAAGAAAGTCTATGCACACAAGTTCAAAGGGCGTTACAGTATTTGTCAAATTGTGTCACTAGGCTTTTTCTGTTAGACACAAGAAAAAACTTTGGTCACATAATGCTCGATGTCTGGATGTATGTATGACCAGAAGAAGCTGGTGCGTACTAAAGACACTGTGCGGTCAACACCTTGATGGCCTGTAGCACTTTGAGATTATTTTATGTAAAGTGCAATATAAATAAAATGTATTATTATTATTATTATTATTACTGTGCGGTCAACACCTTGATGGCCCATGTTGATGTGCAGCTCTTCTAGCACTATCTTACTGTTCTGGCAGGACCAGCTTGTGGTCAGAAATGGTTCTGAACAGAATGCCATGATCACTAGAGGCTGATTTATAGTCCTGCATCAAATTTATGTGGAGCTTTGTGTTTTTTGTGCCGTGGACGTGCACCTGCTGCCATGGACGTGCTGAAAAATTAACATGCACTTAAGTTCTCCTGAATGCTGGGCGAAGGGCTCTGACTGGTTGATTCACAAATACTATATGGACAACTTATTAAAAACTGCTCAGAACAACTAATGGTTGATACAGAAATATCTGCATAAGAGCCTCATGTGATGTGTTTATTGCCACAGTAAATCAATATAAATAATTCCTGCAATTTTAAGTTGATATGGTTGAAGTTCATTCTACATCCCCTAGTGTTTATTCCACTTCCCTTAGTGTTCATTTAGCTTCCCCTAATGTTAATTTGGCATCTCCCACCCACCACTTCAAACTCCCATGAGAAAAGACCAGTTTGAACCAGTTTTGTGCATAATTTCATCTTAAATGAACTAAAATAATAAGTGGAGAAATACAATACCTCTGTTTGAGGTTTAGTTAAATCAGGATAACTTTTTTCCAGTTCCACATGAGTTTGCCATGGGACAACCCAGCCTCATGCTTTACCCCAATTCCTCACTTAATGCCTATTGAATTGATTCATCACAATAGAGACACATACCTTAGAGGCCAGTGCACCCCAGCCCCCTGTTCTCCATCACTCTCACTTTTGCTCCCACACCCTAAAAATTCCTGCCTAAAAACAATTAGAAACATTAACAGCCCCTCAGCACTCAGGCACTCACATTTTACTGGCATTAGTGGCTAAGCAACAACTAACAGATTAAATTCAACTATATGTTTGAACGAGCTGTATGCAAACTTTTCTTTACCTTGGCAGAGCAACTGACATGATCTATATATCAGGTACAGCACAAACACATGTTTGTGAGCTGGAAGTGTATCAGGTACAGCACACAAACATATGCTTGGACACATGAACCACTTCGTCTTTGCATCACAGTATACTCCTGGACTGTCTGAACAGCTTTAGCATTTATAATGAATTCAACTGCTCGATGTGCTTCAAGTTAGCTATTGTCTTAGCTATATATGGAACAGTTGCTGAAATTAGCTAAAACAAGCTACCTTTCTTTTACAATTAGGCATTATTTAAAAAAAAAAAATGGCAATGGAAAAATATTTGAAAAAATAACAACGGTTAAGAAAATTTTGTGATAATTAGAATAATTGCACACTTTGTTTCATTATGATGTAGTAATATGTCCATGTTGTATTCATTTTGTAAGGGTAGGCAAAATAAGTTTTAGCTTCTGCCTACACCTGGTCATTGACTTGCTTAAGTGAAGTTCTACGCAATGAAAGACTGTTTTGTTTTATGGGCATTAGACTAAATATAATACATGTAGACTGTAATGAGTTATACATTGATCATGTAACAGTAAATGAAATGAATGAATGTCAATGAACATGTGTAATATGCAGCCTAATATGTGACATGTTATGGATCAATAAAGTTTATCTAAGTGTAAGTTACATACCACTAATGTTTGACATGTATAAACCTAATACAAATATGAGCTATGTCATAGTGATATAATTAGTCATTGTAAACATTAGATGTGTTTTGAGATTGCAGTGAAGCCTAGTAACAGTAATAATGCTTCTACAGTGATCAAGGCTGCGTTAACACAGGGACCTTCTCATTGTGGGATTCTTTGTTTACATCCACCCCAAGCTGCACTTTTGTATAAACGCCACTAGAGGTCAGCAAAGCACATTCATTATTTGAATAAACACGTGAAAAAGGAAAGCGTAAAAAATAAAAGAAGAACAAATTTAGCAAAGAAAGAGAATATGTGCGAAATTAAATCAAATGCATGCTTGCATAAAACTGATATTTACCAGGGAATAACATCTTTGAACATGGCACTTTGAAGATATACTATTACTTTGATAAAACTTAATGTTTACAAATTACTGAATTTAGTTGAAACTTGCATTGTAATTTTGGAAAGAGTGCAGTTATAAAAGAAGTGAAGAGCCCCTGTACTCTTCACTAACACATTCTGACTGCTACTTTAGTGACTGATGTAAAAAGTTTTGTTGAGTTTCATACCCCTCTCCAATGGCCTTATTTTCTTGGGTACATTTAAGGTTCCTCCACAGATGCAAGTGTGGGGTTGTTTAAGGAAAAACTGTAGCATGGCCTCATATCACCAAGTGCCTACTCATCACCTAAAATGACTTCATTACTGAAACCAAAGCGACAATTGGAAAAAAGAAATGACCAATGAATCCTAATTACTGTCTCAGTCCACACCGCACCTCCCTCTGCCAGTCCAGGCGTCCTGGCTGGCTTCCATGTTCTTTTTGGGGAAGGCCTTAAAACCCCACCTCTGCAATTTGGTTCCTTCTTAACAAACTCTCCCATTGAAGTTTCAAACATGCACAAGCTAAAGAAGGACTAGACTGAACTTTGATGGCTTTATTTTGAGAAAGATTGCAGAATGTGTGGGATGTGTCCTACATGTGTTGCAAAATTACCTCAAGGGAACTTTAGCTGACAAAACAATGGATTTACATACAGGTGGATATGGGTTAGGACACACTTCTATCTTACCTCATTTTAGTTTCATCATGCACAGATTTAATATTGGTATCTTCATTCATTATAGACCTCTCACACATTGTTTAGTTTTGGAGTTAGTTGGAATTGACCCTGGAGGGAAAACTGACTTCTGTATCTTCCCGTTGTTGATAACCCAGGGCATTTCACCACATCTTGACCTAGGTTTGATCAGGCCTGGATCATTGGTCTGTTGTGCATGTTTTAGGTTGATGGGGGGAAATGCACCCAGGCATAACAAGCAAACTCTGCATAGAATGAGAAATGAACCAATGACAGTCTTGCAATGAGGCAAAACTTAAAAACTATTCCTTATAGCTACCTAATAAGGTGGAATGGATTATTTTGAGCTCTGAAGATGTAGACAGACTAATAATAAAAGGTTACTCAAACATGTGTGAATGAAACAAAGCACAACTCCAGATAGGTTTTTGAGGAGGTAATTTAATTTTTTTTTTTATTTTAACATGGCTAACAAGAGTCAATTTTGGACCTTTAAGTGTGTGGTCCTGCAAATATAGTACAAATAGTTCAAAAACTAATTTCTTGTGGTAAGATTTATTTACTTGTTATTTTCTTTTAGAGGGCAAGTTAATATTTTGCATGTTCTTGATCTTAGGCCATGAGTGACATGAGTTTTTGTTTCTTGTTTCCTTCTGGTTTCAACTGTTCCATTATATCAGTCAGTTATGATACTTGTGGTTCCCTAACTAAAACAAAACAGTTGCTTATTGTTGCACTCTACATCAGTCAAAGCTTGCCATTTCTTTTCTAAACTTAACCAAATGTAACCAAAGTGCAGAGTAAGCATCTCTATAGTTACTCTGTCTCTGTCTATGTCACAGTATCTTACAACATTTTTTTTGTGGACTATCCACAGTTGTCAGCTAACCCCTCCCTAATTCCAGGCCACTTTTGGAGGCTTTCCTTGGATTTGGCTGTGACTCACAATAGCCATTTAAAAAGGGCTTCCTCATTAACTTTAGCCGCTTGGCCTCATGTTCTCCCAGCAGGCCATTGCAATTGATGTGGCACAAAATCTTATAATATTTTGGCCATGTTGTTCCCCTGTCTTGTCCTGCTTCTCCTGTCCAGTTCAGGATTTATGGCACCCGCTTTTAAGTCTGAAATGACGATCGCTCCATCCACCGAACCACAGCAGGCTGACCTGGAGCTGGCCACAGTAAGTGTCTAACTGTAATTGCATGACTTGCGCTAAATGTAACAGACAGGATTGCATGTGACTTATTCTATAGACATGTGAGTTTTTGAACCAAGGTCAAACTAAATTGAGCGAATCTGAAGTGGGCCGTAAGAGGGATATTTTAGTATATATTTTGTGGATTTTGTGTGGGTGGGGGGCGGAGGTAAGTACATGCACTGCCCTCTCTACGTGAATGCTCTTGTTTCCAGGATTAGAATTTTTATCTTAAAAAATTAACTGAAAAAACTAAATTGAAATGTTGACATAGACATACAGAGTTAGTGGTTTGTGAAGATGTTCTTACATAAAAAAATATATCTATTGCTTCATAAGATAGTACTGTTGTTATTACCTCTAACATTTCATAATTCTGCCTATACCATACATTTTTTCATTGTATATCGAAGTCTATTTTTTTAACCTTATGCTAATGCATACCCCTTGTTTATATAGTATTCTATGTTTAATGTTCCACCATAACGCTGAAGCAAGTTCCAAGGATTTTCTTCATTGACAATGGCAATGAAACTCTTCTCTCAATTCTCATTCTGATAATTGCAGCCATTACTGTATTACTGCCTCTAATCAGAGTATTAAGTTGTTGTTTGATAAATTATAATGTACCCTTATTTTATTTCCCCCAGGGGTTTAGATGAGGGAATGAATAAAAGAAAATCGGACTCTGATGATTACAATGAGTACCTGCTAAATTAGGCAAGACAATTAACCAACCTTGCCCCCAGTGTCTGCATACACTGGTGTATGAATGTGTGTGCTTTGAGTGCCTTGAAGGTGGAAAAGTGTGATAAAAATGTGACTATTTACCATTGCTGTTTGACAAGCACATAATGTATGACAGTATCTCCAGATATATTCTCATGTTCTCGTAGGAATACCTCAAACACTTCTACGATCTGAAAGAGGAGCGAATAGGACGAGAGAAGAGGAGCGACTCCACCTTCACCTCTAAAGTGAAGGACATGCAGATTTTCTTTGGACTGAATGTAACAGGTTTGCTAGACTCACAAACATTGGATGTGATGAAGATTCCCCGCTGTGGGGTCCCAGATGTGCAGGACTACAGCCTTATCCAGAGCACACGGTGGAACAAGAACCAAATCACATACAAGTAGGTCAAAGTCAAGGCAAATTCTAATTAAAGGGCCCATATTATTTTCTGAGCTCTTTTATAATGTTGTTTCCTTATCACAAACATACCTTGTGTTGTGTTTTGCTTCATTCATATAAACGCTGCATATTTAGGTTGAGCTTTGCTCTCAACTTGAAAACTATCACTACATGACATCACAAGGTGGAACAGAGCATTTTGAGCTTTGGAGATGTAGACAGACTAATAATGCAGGGTTACTAAAACAAAATGAAGCAAACTCCAGGTATGATTTTGATGAAGTCACAACATTCCTAAAGCTCACAAGAGTCAATTTTGTATAATATAGAACAGTTAAATAAAATGCTAAATGTTTATGATGAGAACCTGTCTGACCTTGCATGAAATGGCAGAAATTCCACTGTTCAGAGCTCAATTTCAAGAGGCAATAAAACATTTTGGCAGGGGTGATAGTGATTGTCACATAGCGGCAAGCTGATTTTTCAGTTTAAGACTCCAGCCTCTGTAAGAAATTATGGTTTGCTTAAGAGCCAAATTTCCCAAACTAAGTCTGAACTTATGTAACATTGTCTGCAACACTCCTGCAGTTTCTATAGTTAGACACAATAAGGAAAATAATTTTTTATCTTGCAGTCAATCAACATCACTAACAATTTGAAGCAAAAACATCAGCAAAAGGCAGGGCCCTGAGTACAAATCATGTTGGTGGGCCTGCACTACTATCTAATGAAAAATGCACATTACAGACTTTGTGAGGGGCACTGCCTTAGGCTAACTTGGGTCACACCAGGTTGATATGAGTGTCACTCTGAACTGAGTTCTGCACATTAGCAATCTGAAACGGCTATCACTGAAAGCGATTGCTTTTTCCAGACATGTCCTCCTTTTGAGACCTCAAAAAATGTCCGGGTGAAATTTCTAAATTATGCCAAAATGTTTAGGATTTTGACTCTATCAATTGACAGCTTTGAGTGAGACACTTATTTTAGACTTGGCGACAACCATTGCTCATCTGATCACTTGCAATCATGGATCTACAATAAGATCTTATTATACTTCCATGGATACATTCTCCAACGCAGTGCGTCTAAACTCCTCCATTCCTTTCCCTGCTCCCGAGTGCTCTTGAGGGCACAAACCGCTCCTTTAATCAGAAGGCAAGTCAGCTGTTGTGGAGAGGTTGGATGATCATGACGCAGTTCATCAAGTCTCAACTCTATACCACTTTTTATTTGATGAAAATTGACCTTATATTAGCGGAGATATGTTCATATATCCCATCTGAAAAAGTTAGTCGCAAACTCAGAGGCACGTAACTGTGTCCGTTCTGTTCAGACATCCTGTTAAAGGCTAAAGTCTGTAGTGTTTGTACAGCTCTGAATCACAGACTGAAGCCTCCTGTCTGTGAGAAATGACAGGAGCAGGGCTATATCATAGCTGGGACAGGGGACATAGACACTGTCAGGGAAATAAAACATGAAAAATAAATATATAAGTTACATTGGCTTATATTATGAAACCTATATTTATGTAACATAAGACAAATGCATCAATTTCATTGCAATACTAAATTCAAACATCAACAGAAATCAAGGTACAAACATCGGTAATTTTTTTGTTTCCGAACCCATGATGAACCCCCCACACTCCAAGATGGATTCTTGTGAATTTGTGAACTCACAAATATTGCAAGAATCCATCTTGCTGTGCAAGGTTAACCTCACACTGGGGCCTGGATATACAGTACCCTTTACCTCCCCAGTCCAATGCCCCTGCCAAAAGATAACCCACATTAAATATAATAAATGAGACCATATATATCAGAGTTATTTCCAGATGTTGTTTGAGTCTTTTCCACAAGAAAATCATACAGATTAGAGAAGTGTCCAACCATATCGTAACATCCACATACCAAGGACGGCAGTGAAACAGATAAATGATTTCACACAATTGGAAAATAAATTAAATAATTGAACTGTATGAACTATGAATGATCAAGTTACTTTGTCTGTTAATTAGCTCAGCATGTCATAGGTTTACGCCACGTGCCTGAGGCAAAACAGCTTAAAAATTGATGGGTGCAACAGACACTTGAATGATCTATTTGATACTGACTTGTACTCACTGCAGCATTGGGCGCTACACCAGTGACCTTCCTCGGAGCACAGTGGACTCTCTCATCACATCTGCCTTCGATGCCTGGTCCAGAGTCAGCACACTGAAGTTCATCCGCTCATACAGCAACAACGCCGACATCATGATGGAGTTTGCAACATACTGTGAGTCCAAGAAGGCCCCTAAAGTATAAGAGACAAGAGCAATATTTTACATTGGTGAATCATTGGTATCAACGTTAAAGTATAGCCAAAAATTACTCCACAGATCTTTTTTTTTTTTTTTGCATCTATTAAAGGAGCACTAGTTAACTTTTTGGCTGGGGGTCCATGTTCTTGTTTCTATGGATAAATCATTGCTCTGCCTGGAATGTTCCACAGTATGACATGAAACAGCTCTACCTTACATTTATGAAATTACAGGTGGTTTTATATCTCAGAAAAACAACCATTCTGACTGTAAGAATGGTTGCGTCTCCACAGATCTGACTAGTAGCTTTGTCTAGTGTGGTCTCTATGAAGTTAGAAAGGTTTAATACCATACTGTGAAACATTCTAGACAAAGCTGTAACATCTCCATGAAGAAAAACATCTGACAGACCCTCTACCAGAAAAGTTACATAATACACCTTTAATATTCTCATCAAGTGCTGCATGATAGTCTAAGAGTTTACAAATATGGGCCCCGTGAAATCAATTTCCAACTTTCTTAACCTGCACCCACTGCACCCATTTTATGCTTGGACCTGACCTGTCCAATTAAGCCTATGTGACCTCTTGACTTTGACCCTGGCTGCATAGACAAGACCACTCATGAAGTTTTTATCGCTTTAAAGGTCTGGAACGACACCAAAAATAGCACAGGTGGTTACAATATTGGGCTTGTATCTTCTTCTGCCCCATTATCGAGTCGCTTAACAGCAGAGGAGCGTTTGCAGGGTAATCTCACTGCTCACTACCAAAAGATTCCAAATACAGTGGGAGCCTTAAATTATATTAAATACAAGATAAATTATGTTTTCATTCAACATTCAATAAGCAGAACAATATTATTACACCTGCTGTATAGAGAATAATTATATACTCAGCTAGAAGTAAAAAAGTAGAAGTAAACAGCAATTAAACATTTTTTATTCAGGAGATAAATATTGATTTCTGAGTTAGCATAGCATGTGCAAAATGTACCTATGTTATTGATTATTGAAGGAACATTTCAATCTTTGTGTCTATACAGTACATTAGTAATTGTAGGTAAAGCTGCGGTCCTGTGCTTATGTTGTTTGTCTGCATTTTATTTGCCTTTTTTTCACTACAGTAATTGATGTACAGGACCTGTCTTCAGTTAACCAAGAATGTCTTTAGTCGACTACAGCCCTAAATATTGGCAACGTTAGACATATAAAATTATATGTAATGTAAATGTATATAAAACATAAACGGAACCATACCAATCGAAGCATAAGGAGCTATCATCACCACAGACAGCTATATATGACAACATGAGTCTAGCAAGCTGTGGAGAAGCCTATAATTTCGTTTACTTTTTTTTTGGTGAGAATAAAAATGGTTTTGCTCGTGGTTTGTCTTTCATGTTTGGCCTGGGTTTCTCTCTTGTGTAGCACATGGTGATATGTACCCATTCGACGGACCGCGCGGTACTTTGGCTCACGCCTTTGGCCCTGGTCCTGGAATCGGAGGTGACACCCATTTTGACGACAATGAGCAGTGGACAGCAGGACCAAGGGGTAAAAATACACAGTTCTCAAACAGGTAAAAGAAATCACGTGCCGATTTATTCTATGTTTTTTTCCAAGTGCTAACTGTAGATCACAATTTAACCCTGGTTTGGTCCCATAGACTGTATATATAATTGGACATAGCTAACCCGCTGTCATTTTTGTCTTAAAATGTTTGTATTAACCAGCTCTACTGGTGTTTTTATTTTGCTATTTTACTGTAAATAAACTCCTATTCCTAATATGGAACTTCGCTCCAAATTCGCTCCTGCTAACTACATGAATGTCATTTGACTTCTTTATAGTGTCTATGTTTAACCTGCAGTCTAGCCTTGGTTTAGTTCAGACATTGCAATGGTTTAATCCATATACATACTGAGAAACATCTTGTAAAATTGTTGAGAACCATGCTGCTCTGCACATTTTAATAAAGTACATGCCATGCACTAACAACATTACATATTATAGTAATAGTATGGTTGTGTATTGCAGGTTATAATCTACAGCTGGTGGCTGCTCATGAGATTGGTCACGCTTTAGGTCTGAGGCACTCCCGAAACCCAGACTCCCTCATGTACCCAAACTACAGGGCGTCCAGACCAGCCCACCTTCTGTCTATGGAGGATGTAGCCAATATCAACGCACTTTACAGTAACAAGTCATTTTATTGTCTATAAGAACCTCAAAATACATTTATGTCCATGGAGATGTTTTTGCTTTGTTTATAGAATGTATCATAGTATGGCATAAGTTCTTTATCCATAGAGAGAAGCAAGTCACAGGCCAAGTTACAGGTCAGGTCTGTGGAGGTCTGTATGTTTTTTCAAGGTAATAAAACTACTAATATATATATATATATATATATATATATATATATATATATATATATATATATATATATATATATATATACATATATATATATATATGGTAGGTGGATAAGTTTAATGCCATCTATGAAACATTCTAAGCAAAGCAATGGACACAAACAGGTGGCTGACCACCACGAGAAAAGTGACACAGTGTACCTTTAAGGTGAGCTTGATTTGAAACTGCTTTGATGTTTTTAGGACCTGTTCAGTTGCCCATATACTTGAACCCCTGGCTGTTCCCTCGCCTCATGCAGGACAGGTGTGCTCCGGACGTGGGTTTTGATGCAGTGTCCACTGTTGGAGATGCCACTTTCTTCTTCAGAGGACAGTGAGTCTATTATTACTACTAACTAATACACTGAGATGACTGAGATACTCAGATATGCACTTCAGATATGCACTTCCTTCAAAAATGATTTAATTGGACGTCATCTACAAAGTTTAAAGGTTACTGAACTAAAATGACCAATTGACCAAAAACATCACAATTATGAAATAAAAAATATACTTTTACAAATTACATATCTTTCAATTGACTGTTAACATTTATTTCTTATCATTTGGTAATGTATTCCTTACAGAAACCATTACTGCTTTGTATTCCTTCTAGATACCTATGGATCAAACACAATGCTCAGCCAGACATCAAAGAGGGGCCCATCTCAAACTTCATGCCAAAGATTGAAACCAGTATTGACGCCGCCTATAGGATTCCTCGCAAAAACACAGCCTTCCTTTTCCATGGTAACAAACACAGTGAAGTTATCTAGATAATTATATCTCTAAGCAGACACTGAAACCAACCACATCTTGCAGAAAGCATGTTCTGGACAGTGAAGGGCTCCACTGTGCGGGGCAAGCCCAGACCCCTCAGCCATTTTGGGTTTCCTGTTTGGGTGCAGGAGTTGGATGCAGCTGTGCACATAGTGAAAACTGGACGCACTCTCTTCTTTGTACATGACATTTACTGGAGGTAGGATCATTAACAACTACTGTGCTATTTTATTTTTCCCAGAGAAATTTCAGTGAAAAGCTATTATAATATAATGAATAAACATAAAAATGACTTAAAGGGCCCATATTAGGCTTTTTCTGATCTATGTTACAATGTTGTTTCCTCATCAAAAACAAACATTTCTGTTGTTTCCTCCATACATATTTAACACACAAACAAAAAACACGTGTTCCACTGTGTTTTTAAACTTCAGTAAAAACATTTGGATTATTTCAGCCCTAGAACTGCCAGTCTTTACTGAACTAAAGGTCAAATGTAGCAGTGTACTTGAAAACTACAAGGCATTACAAGGTGGAACAGAGCACTTTGAGTTTTGGAGATATAGACAAACTAATAACAAAAGGATTACTCAAACATATGTGAATGAAACAAAAAAAGGATTTTGAATGGATAGTAGGTATCTGTTTGAATCCTGCCTCGTGCCCAATCAACCAAGCAATAAGAGAGGAACTAACACTATTAAAATCCAGGCAAATTTCTTGCACATGCTAGCAAATTCCTTCAGTTGTTGAGATGCATTTGCCTCATTAAAATACTTAAACATTACAGATGCCACTTCAACATAAATGATCTTAAATGTACCTAAACTATACTTTACACCTCCCTATAATTTTTGGTTTAGCTTAAACTCTTCATCATATACATATAGCAATTACTCTTTAAAAAAAAACAAAAAAAAAACATATCACATTACAGCATATCTTTTCTATTATATGGCCCACACAGAGAAACACCCACCAGTCTTGACTTTTTAGTAGTTCATATCCCATAATGGGAAGAATACAGTTTTCAGTAACAAAATACTGAATACATGAATTAAATTATTATTTTTTTTAACAGTTCGATACATGGGCCAGAGTAGTACTGTATTCTGAATACTCAGAATACTTTTACATTGAGTTGCATTTAAATTACAGTGTAAATACACAACAAAGAATTAAAACTGCTTTTATGTTTGTTTCATCGTTTGTTATGCATTTCCTATCTCTAAATGGAGAAAGAAAAATAACAAACACACTCATCACAAGATCAGTGTATCTATTTTTCTCTAATTATATGTAGTTCGAAGCCTAAATTGTGTGATCAAGTACTGCAATATATCGCTTTGATTTTAGTAACTACATTCTAACATGTATTCAGTAACTTACCAACACTATACATATCACTAATTCCATATATTTTCCAGTTATAATGAGAAGAAGCGAGTGATGGACTATGGTTATCCCAAATACATCTATGAGGACTTCCCAGGACTGAATACAACAGAAACAATAAATGCAGCTTTGCACAAAGAGGGTAAGTTTATAATAAATAAAGTTACACTGTGCACCTTGAACATTTTCTATACAGCCACTGCTTGTTAGAAATTTCAAATCTCCAAGCATCATATCTATATCTTATATCTATATCAGTGTTAAGATTGCTAGGTGAAGTAATTGTGTTTTGGTACTAAACCTATGTCTGTAGCTTAGGGGGATTGAGAGGTTGTGTTTCTATTATCGTCAGAGGAATGCCGTTCACATCAGCTGATTGTGTGGTTCCCCTCTGTAAATACAACTGTGTAATTCTAACTCATTTTATTCTTTAAAGCCTCTCAAATCATATACTGTAATTTCAACTGCAAACCCAATGTGTACTTTATAGTTAACACACACGTGATTATCCACATCTTTATGACCACAAACGACAAACACAAAATATGTAATTCTGTAAACAAGGAATGCAGGGAGAATCATTTACTTGATTACTTCACTCAGTAGCAGTAGCAAGTTATATGTTTAAGAAGTAGCATTAAAGAAGACTTACTGTGTTTGTGCACGCTATATAGTTATAAATAATGTATGACACCAATGGATCATTATGTTATAATTTGCACATTTACATTTTAAATCTCAATATTCATCTAAAACAACTTAATAAAAGAAACAATTCCACTGACTTCTGTGTTAGAAAACTGCAATGCCCAGTCACCATAAACGTCATCACAACAAAGAGTGAAAAGTCGATTTTGCATTTTAGGTTTGCTTTAAACAAATAATGTTTTACTCCTTACAAAAAAAATTAAATACAATTGTGAAAGCTATTTAAAAGATACACTATGTAACTTCCCTGGTTAAGGGTTCGCCACCAGCTTGTTTCCATGTTTTACCAGGCTAAGTTACAGGTCAGATCTGTGGAAAGGCAAGTTAGCTCACAGTAAGAAACACTCAAAAGATCTGTCACTGAATAAATGTTGAACATTTCATCCAATGCAATAATATCTCCATGGAGACAAGCAGGCGGCAGACCGTCCACCAGAAAAATTACATAGTGCACCTTTAACTTAATTTCAACTTCATAAATTTTTACCTCAGAAGAAGTGTGGGTGGCCCAAGCCTTGCAATGTTGTGCCTAGTTAAGGAAAAGTAGTGATTAAAGATGTTGTAAGTAGTGCAGCAGTGGTAGTAGTCAAAGCAGGAATGTCAATAGCAGTAGCAATGGTAGTAGTAATATTAACTGTTGCAACAGTATATGGTACTCTAACACAACACGTCTACTTAAGTAATAGTATTTACGCAATTTCTGTCATTATAGGTTTCATCTATTTCTTCATTGGAGCACAAGTCCATCAATACGACTTCACCCAGAAATGCACAGTCAGAGTTGAGAAAGCAAACTCTTGGCTTGGCTGCTGAAATGTTGCAATTCTGTGAACATGCCACAAAGAATTGACTTGACATCTCTGAATAAATTACCCACACAATTAAAAAACAGTTTCTTTATTGCTTGTTAAATTGAGATAGACTGGAGGAGTTGTTCAACATATATTGTTGACATTATGGGAGTTTTTGTGGTGGAGGGCGGTACATGAACCAAGCCTGGTGCCTCACTAATTGTAGCATGCTTTGACTTGACTGCAAAGAGACATTGGATTTCTTTAGACTTCAAACCCAAAGTGCACACACATGTTCAACAATTACACTGCTACCAGACGACGAATGTAGACTTTTCATTGGGGGAAGCTATGACCGCAAAAACCTCCAGAAAACTTGGGACAGGTAGACCCGGTTGTAACTAGTGCGACCATGTGATTACCAGACATTCCCCCCTAAGAATACCGCATATAAAATATCCAAAGGCAGCTTGGAAAGGGGCATTTTAAAACATGGAGTTGGTCTGGTCTTGGATACTCGCATGGGGTTCCTTGTTTTTGGGGTTGTCATGGACTTTACCATTGCAGAAACAACACCATGGACTCAGACCTGAAGATGTTCAACTGGCTGAGGTTTGTGCATAGAAATATTACTTTTAAATCTTAATAACAAATGCATACTTAAGTTGCATGAGCAGTCTATTCATGTAACTCATTTTTGATTTAGTGTAATTATGTCTTTGTATGTTTTTTATGGTTGGGTAATATTAATAGAAATTTGTTGGGTGAAAAACATAATTATTGACTATATTATGGCAAGTTTAACAAGATTAGCCAATAACAACACATGATGATTGGGCCTGCATCTGCTGTTATTAAAAGTAACCACGGAAATAACAACTTGAACATCTATTAACATCTACTACCCGCACTATCACTAACAATAACAACTGACATAACTGACTCAAATCTCTCTGGCTGTTGAAATGTCATTTTTGTCCTTGAATGGCAAAAACAAGGAAGTAAATAATAGTCCAGCCTCATTACTCATCAGATCAAATCTGCATATTATGTACAATATATTCAGAATGACTTGTGCATTTAGATTTAGATATAACATGAGATATTAGCATTATAGGTTTTCTGCCATTTTGTAGGACATTAATCTCATATTTTCCTGTATTGTTATTTTATGCAGCATAAATCAGGATCATGAGATAATTTGTGGTGACTATTGTGGTGACATTTACAAAAAAACATAAACCTTTGCATGTGTTGAAATTAAAATAATGAACATATCCTTACTTTTCACTCATCTCCCATACTGATGTTTACATTTCAAACATGGCTCATTATAACTTAATTTAACCCAACTACAGACATGCATGTATCTAACCTAAAGATAACTCCTCCCACAGAACTATCTTACTCGTTTTTACAAGCTCAGCCCTGAACCCCAGCGAGAGCTGAGGTATGACCGAAACCCCCGAACCACATCCGAAACCGTGGACCACAGAATCCGAGAGATGCAGCACTTCTTTGGTCTGAGCGAGACTGGCCTCCTTGACCACCAGACTCTGGACACCATGAAGGAGGCCAGGTGTGGGGTCCCAGACGTGGATAATTTCAACTTCTACCCCAACAAGCCCCGCTGGAAAAACAACACCATCACCTACATGTAAGAGCTGAGAGACTGTCACTAGATTGTCACTAATAGACGTCTTAAGGGGTTGTCATGATACAAAGCTTTTCAAACTTGATGTAAATATTAAGGAAAAGGTTTTATACTCAATATCAATTTTTATACTACAATAATACATTCTTCAGTACTAATAGTAGTTAAATATTATAATGTGGTCTCATACTTGTGATATAAATTAAGACTTTTCTACTGCTATCTAGGAAAGTCTCAACTTTGTCCCATTATTATCAGTATCAAAACATGTTCAAAGGATATCTAGTTTCAGTAGCTTGAGATTTGATAACTATTTTGGGTATCTTTTTTTTTTTTTTTTTTTTTTTTACACCTTTTACACTTCCTGAGATCTTCCTGAGGTTTCTATGGTGCAAATCCTATCTTATATAGTTTGTTTTTGGATACTTTAGCTGTTTTTCTCCTTTTCTACGTATTACAGATCTACAATATTAGTTCTGATCATTTTTCAACACAATACAATGATTACATAGAGTATCAAGTAAAACTAATTCACGTCACATTCACATTAGTAATTTCAATTTTATAGCCAAATTATTGAATCTGTAGGAAAATAATTAAGTGACTATTTTATTGTTTCATAGGATTGCAAGGTACACTCCGGACATGAGGAAGGATGATGTGGATAAGTCATTTCGTTTGGCATTCAAGATGTGGAGCGACGCCTCTCCACTCAAATTTGTCCAAGTTGAACGTGGCAAAGCTGACATCATACTAACCTTTGCACGAGGATGTAAATAGTCCATACTCCCATACTATTAAAGCCACAGTTACACTTCGAAACATTAAAGGTCTTATATTACACAGAATGGATTCTTGTGAGCTTTAAGCCATGTTGTTATCTCATCAAAAAGATACCTGGTATTGTGTTTTGTTTATTCTTGGTCTACTTCTCCAAAGTACAAAATCTCTGTTTCACCTTGTCATGTCATGAAGTAATAGTTTTCAAGTTAACAGCTACCTCTTACCTTTAGTCCAGATGAGAATGGAAATTCCAGGGCTGAAATTATCCAAATGATTCTAGTGAAGTTGGAGCACTTGCTGTATTACCACATGACATCACAGGGTGGAAAAGAGTCCTTTCCTATTGAGAGAAGAACTCGGCCTAAATGTGCAGGGTTTGTGTGTAAAACATGTATGAGCACATCCAGGTATGCTTTGGATGAGGAAACAACATTATAACAGATCAGAAAATAGCGTAATATGGGCCCTTTAATAATAGATGTAACTTGACTTAAATGTGTACTAAGTAACTATTCTGGTGGAAGGTCTGTTACTTCTTTCCATTGAAATTTTATTGCTTTGCCTGGAATGTTTCACAGTATGGCTTTAAATTTATCACCCTCCATGGAGACAAGCAGATGCCACCTGACCAAGTTACAAGTCAGATCTGTGGAGAGATGATGCAACTCACTCAACTCAACTCAGGAGCAATAAATACACAAGTAATTTAATAACACAGATCTTTTTATAGGAACCTCTCCATGGAAATAGGCAAATGGTTGACCATCCACCAGGAAGGTTACACAGTGCACTTTTAACTACCAATTTAGACTAATTACCAGATTACAGCCTGAACTGCTTTGCAACAGTTTAAACTATTATTCCTTATTCTTTTTTTTAGTTCATGGAGATTTCTTCCCGTTTGATGGACCAAAGGGGGTACTAGCTCACGCTTTTCAGCCCGGATCAGGGATTGGAGGAGATATCCACTTTGATGAGGATGAGACATGGACAACAGGCAGCCATGGTTTGTCCTAAAACAATTAAATTTATTAATTGTAGAAATTAATAGCCCATATCCTTCATTACCTAAAAGCTGAGGACAAATGATTCAAGTGAAAGTTATTAAACATTTTGTTTGTTTGTTTTAAGGTTACAGTCTATTTGCAGTGGCTGCTCATGAGCTGGGTCACTCTCTTGGTTTAACTCACTCCCAGGACCCCGCCGCCATCATGTACCCCAACTACAGAAGACGTAGCAACAAGCAGTACTCCCTGTCCAAAGACGATATACTCGGAATTCAAACATTATATGGTAAGCTAGTAATATTCAAGAAGAAAACTACATAAAGCACAGTTTTTCTTAGTATTAAGTTGGACATTTGATCAGGTAAACCCATGGAAAGAGCAGACAAGGCTCCCAGAAAGTGTGACCCAAACTTCTCCTTTGACGCAGCAGCAATGATCGGAAATGAGATGGTTTTCTTTAAAAACAGGTGGGCTTTTATAATACTGTTATTCTATAAATTTGACTGGAGACAGGAAGTTAGAAATAGGTAATAATAAGTTATAAATATTCAGATACTGTCAAAAGTGTTAAAAATCACTGGACTCTATTATAAAAAGAAAATATTGTCTTGTACATTATTTAATAACTGAGAAGAAAAATAAACTATTCCTACTTGCAGATACATGTGGATGCGAACTACATACACAACATATTGGAATCAACTGAGAGAGGGCCAGATGAGCACATATTTACCAAGTATCTACTCTCATATCGATGCTGCGTACGATGACCCTGCAAGAGGCGTGGCCTACCTCTTCACTGGTACAGTAACACAATAGCTAAATGATTTTTGAAATAGCAGTCTATATCTAATATGTGTTATGCATTGCAATAAATAGAGTGATGTTTTAAACAGGTTTTATACACAATAAGACCCCATGTTTCTTGCAGAAAACACTGAAGGGCCCACATTAATATTGTTTCCTCATCAAAAACATATCTGGAGTTGTTTTGTTTTATTCACTCATGTTTAACACACAAACCCTGCATATTTAGGGGTTTCTTTCTCAAACAGAACACACTGTTCCACCTTGTGATGTCATGTGGGAAGTGCAGGAATATAGGAAGTGCTCACCTTTGTTTTTAAACTACATACACCTTCATTAAAATCATTTGGCTAATTTCAGACCTGAAATTGCTAATCTCGACTGAACAAAAAGTTAAAGGTAGCTGTTAACTTTTGATAACTAACAAACACAACTCCAGGTATGTTTTTGATGAGGTAACAACATTATAACATGGCTTAATGCTCACAAGAGTCAATTTTGCATAATATAGGACCTTTAAGCTATACCCTTTGCAATTTGGTATTTCAACTACAGCTATTTCTCTTGTATTGCGATTAACCATGCAGCCTTACATCTGTCAGCATGACACAGCTCAGTGTTGAGTTCCACTTACCTAACTCCATGGCCTCTCTGAGTGTGTATCTCTTTGTGGGCTACTGCTGTCCCGGTGACCCACAGTGCAATGACACATGTATGTTTGTATGTTTTCACAGGCCATAAGTACTTTGTGGTTCAACAGCTGAAAATGAAGAGTCACGCTGCCTCTATCTCCGATTTTGGGTTCTCCTCCAGTGTTAAGCACATTGATGCCGCGGTCCATGTCAGTGAATATGGCAAAACTATATTCTTTACTGGCGACCTTTATTACAGGTAAAACAACAATAGAGTGCATCTGGTAAAGTCTGTCTAGTGGTGAGCTGTAACTCTTTTCTACTGAGACTATAGATGGTTTTAAAAATGTATTATTTGAATATATCAGGAAATGGGTAATATTACTATTGCTGTTTTGGAGATCTTCAAAACTTTACAGTTTACAGTTTATGAGTTTTAAGACATGTTATAATGCAGCTACTTCACCAAGACATACTTAGAGTTGTGTTTGGATTCATCCAGACACGTTTGAGAAACCCTGGTTTATTAGTCTGTCTGCATCTCCAGAGCTGAAGCAGTAGTTTCCTTTTGTTCAGTAGAGATTGGCAATTATCCACCATTATCAACCATCTAAATGATTTTGGTGAAGGTATAAAAAATTACTTTAAAAACACAGAGAAGAACTCAGACTTAACATGCAGGGTTTATGTATTAAACATGTATGAATGAAACAAAACATAACTCACAGTATGTTTTAGACTAACATTATAAGATCAGAGCGTAATATGAGGCCATTGAAAAAATGGTCAGAATAGCATAATCACAAATAAATATATGTAGCAATCAAATGAGGAAGAAATTTGGACAAAGAGGGATCTCCTCCTTTTATTCATGGGAAATGTATTGTGGCAGGGTTCCAAAATAAAGACTGAACTGGCAGTATCCTCATATACTGTCACTACAGATGATGAGACAATATGAAAATTTGACTTTTTACTAATGTATTCTGTATAACCAGGTACGATGAACGCAAAAGAAAACTAGATAGTGGTTTCCCTCGACACATCCAAACAGACTGGCCTGGGATCCCAAGCAAAGTAAATGCTGCCTTCAAGTTACAAGGTAAAAATGTTCCCATGGCCAGTATATGGTCATGTACTTTCTATAGTGGAGACCTCAGCCGCTGCAGGAATAGCATACCGCTGAAATAGAAGTTGTAATTTCTTGTTTTTACCGTCTTTAGGTGGTAAGGGTGGGGTTCACCACATGAACTTTGTACTTTCTCTTCCCTTTAAAACAATATAACTTCACATTTCACTGCTGCAGTCCATTATAACAACATTTAGCAATCAACAAAAATAATTAACTATCTGGCACAATATGTGCAATTGCTGTGCCTTACAAAAAAGACAAGACAAAATTTCACTAAAAACATTACAGTCAACAGGTTGACTTTTGGCAGTACATATAAAATTCAAATTTCTTAATTTGCGAACAGATTTAAAATTTTACCATTTTAAATTTGTAATATTTGTGACTATTTTATAATTGAGCTGCCCTAAAAATATTTTAATTTGTGTCTTTAACAGGAAGTATTTTCATCATCAGTGGAACAAAGTCCTTCCAGTACGACTATAGGAAGAACAGAGTAGTCAAGATCATTTCGGCAAATTCCTGGCTTGGATGTTGACAGTGGTTAGCGGATTTTTGATTTACACTCTCCAATTACAGTAATTTCAGGCCTGTTATCACTTGTAACAGTGAAATCGTGTTATGTATAAATTAAATCCACTTGTTTTATACAAATTTTATAACAGATATAGAGGAATGTTTTGATGTAAGAAAAAAAAAACAACAACAAAAAACAGAAATGTTCTGAGACTGGTGAATTTATTTACTGGTCTGGTTATGACATGTCTGCTATTTTTCTGTCTTAAATTGTATCTCAATTACACATTTTTGCATATTTTTAGTTTTGTTTTAAATTGTGATCTTAAATAAATATGATTTTTTAAAAGCTTTTTTTCTTGTGCAAATGAGACAACCCACATTATTCAATATATCTCAAATGTCCTCAGAAACATGCTGTTCTTATGTTTCAACAGATACTGACCCTTGGAACATGTATTTACATTCAAGCTCCAAAATGGCAGAAGTATTAAAGTCCATATGTACAAAACCAGCACAGGCTACTGACTTTACAAATATTGACCTAAACATGTGCATGTCTCCTCCCTGTGTGTTTTCAGGGGACCTCCCCATAAGAAATGCATAGGTCTAGCTATACTGACAGTTAACTCTGGATCTCCATAGGACTTTCTACAAACAAACAAAAAAAAAAAAAAAAAAAAAAAACAACAATAGATGATTTTAAGACATACTACATAAAAATGCCTGTATTCTGGATGTTGCTGTTGGGTGTTTTAGCCCTGTGTCATGGAGCACCAACTATTGCTCCAACAATTTCACCAGATGACCAAACAAAAGCTGAGGTAAGAATCACACAGATTAAGATACTTAACATAGTATGACTGCACAATACCAATTGCAAAAGAATACAGAAATTGCAATCATGACAAATGCAATGAAAATGCTGAATAAATCAATGGTTGTGGTTATCAATGAAACCAAAATATACACCGCCGTTAAGCGCTGTCTGAACATGGGTGTGGTTTAGTTCTGGTTTACAGTCTGTAGATCTGGTTTACACAATTTTGGTCTAATTTAAACCAGGTTTGTCCCATGTAGCATCCTTCAATTTAAGTGCAAATATTCCATTTTCACTTCAAGGACCAACACAATATACTTCTCACAGAGTTCAGTAGATGAGTTAGCATAGAGGCACTGCTTTATTGTTCAAGATACGGACAAAATCAAGGCAAAATCAGTCCTTGGGTTTCTGTTTTTAGAAGTAAATAGTTAATTGCTTAAATGTTCTAAGGCAGAAATTCATATCACATACCATCACCCATATTTTCCAAGATTCATTAACCCTTGCTTAAAACATTTCAGTATTTTGATAGATTTACTATATCATTTATTGTACTTTAGGATTATCTTTATCAGTATTATTCTGATATTGGGGTTTCAAATTCTACAACAAGAAGCCTCGTCAAAGCCAGAAACTTCACTGAGGACTTGGAAGCCATGCAGTCATTCTTTGGATTGGAGGTACTTTTATAAACCAAGACAAATAGATGAAAATGTAGAGTATGCTTACTTTATTTCACTGACCTAAAGGTGACTGGAAGTTTGAATACAGAGACATTAGAAGTCATGAAGGCACCGAGGTGTGGTGTGTCAGACATCAGCAGATATGGACACTTTCCTGGGAAACCTAAGTGGCAGAAAAGTCTAATTACATACAGGTAAAACAATAAAATTAAAATATTTTTAAATGACAAAACAAAAACATATTAGCAAGCTCCTCATGCAACTGTTTTTTCATATAGTATATTTTTATCCCCTCTATGTATATGACAGTGTCTAAAAATGTAATCATTCAAAATAATCTTCTGCATAACTGAATAAAGGTGTTACTTGGCTGTGCTCTTAAATACCTTTACTGTTAATACTTAAAAGTGCATTGTGTAATTTTTCTGGTGGAGGGTCCATCAAATGATTTCCATAGAGATGTTAATGCCTTGTCTGAATGTTTTCACAGTATGGAATTAAACTTTTCTATCTTCATGGAGATCAAATGAAATCAAGTTACAGGTCAGATCTGTGGAGAGGCAACCCCGCTCACAGCCAGAATACCTGTTTTCTAGGTATTTTATAACATAAATAAAATACCCTGTAATTGAACACATGTCAGGTATAGCTGTTTAATGTTACAGCGTGGAATATTTCAGGCAGCTCAATGACATCTCCACAGAGAAAAGCATTTGGTAGACCCTCCACCAGAAAATTTACATAGTGTACCTTTAAAAATAATTTTGGTAAGTTGTTGTTGTGATTCCAGGATTACACAGTACACTCCAGATCTTTCACAGGGACAAGTGGATGCCACCATTGCTCAGGCCTTTCAGCTGTACAGTGATGTTATCCCGTTAAACTTCAAACAGATCTACAGTGGCACTGCAGACATCATGATCCTGTTCAAGGGCGGATGTAAGTACAGAAAAGTAGCTACAAAATATACAACTTATATTTTATATCATTGTGTCATGTATTACATTAGATCATGGAGATTTTTACCCTTTTGATGGCGCTGGTGGGGTTTTGGCCCATGCTAACTCTCCTGGAAGAGGGCAAGGAGGGGATACTCACTTTGATGATGATGAAACCTGGACTCTAACCCAAAGAGGTGAACATCCTCTGCTAATCTATTATGGAAGCTCTGTGCAGTCATCTTATAGTTCTCGACATATTGATTCAGGCATGAATGTTGAAAAATACAAAAGCTTTGTAAGGTAATACAAAAATGAATATAGTAATTATTATATAACTACTTGTTAACCCAATGTGTGTGTGTGTGTGTATATATATATATATATATATATATATATATATATATATATATATATATATATATATATATATATATAGTCAGGCCAGTCATACCAATCAGCTTTCTTTTCCAAAGGCTAACAGCTCACAAAAGCACTAGTAATATAACACACGGTAGTGGTTCATAAAAGATTTATAAAATCTGTACTCAGATGGCTTGTCCGATCTAACTAGAACAGCTGAACCTGTATATACCGAAGTTTTCTGTTTTCTTGTTCAGGTGTGAATTTACTGCTGGTTGCGGCCCATGAATTTGGCCACGCTCTGGGTCTGGATCACTCACGGGACAAACGTGCGCTGATGTTTCCCACATATCAGTACGTCAACACAAACGGATACAGACTACCAGACGATGACAGGCGTGGAGTTCAAGCTCTTTATGGTAGTTTAATTTAAATTTTCCTTATCAGACTAATATGATTTATATATTGAGCACAAAGAAACTTTTGTTCACCTGCTGTTTTAGGCAGTCGAACACCAGACCCTAAACCCCAACCTCCACCCACACCTACCCCTGAGCCAGACCCAGTGGACCCTGAAGACCCAGACCCTCTGCCCAACCCCGGTGCAGATAAATGCAGCCGCAACTTGGTCTTTGATGCAGCTACTTCTATTAGAGGAGACTTGTACTTCTTCAAAAATGGGTATAGCTGTAATAAGTTCATTATAATATTGTTTTTACAACTTTAAAAAGTTTATTCAATATTTTGGGGATTTCTTAAACAGATATTACTGGAGAAAGAGTCGATCATTCAATGGAATACGTCTGGTTAAGGTTCCATCTAGATGGGGACAGATAAATCAAGTGGATGCTGCTTATGAGGTCCCAAATGAAAGCAGATTTTTTGTTTTTGATGGTTAGTGTTTAACAAGATCTATAATGTATAATTCAGTTGTATTTCAAGAATATTATGTTTCTAACAACATTTTGACAGGCCGCCAATATTGGGGTATAAGATCTCAGTCAAAGACAAAAATCCCTGGCTACCCAAAACCTTTGACAAATCTAGGCCTCCCCTCTTGGGTCAGTAAGGTGGATGCAGCAGTTTATGTGACTTCAACTAGAAAGACACTAATTTTTGTCAGGAATCAATACTGGAGGTAAATAAATCATAGACAGATTAAAAAAGAAAAGAAAAAATACTTTTTCATGAGTAACATTATGTTGTGTAGCTATGATGAGGCCCGAAACCAAATGGACTATGGCTATCCGCGATACATCACTCAAGATTTCCCTGGTATTGGTTCAAGGGTAGATGCAGCGTTTGAGAATTATGGTATGAAACATGTTTTTGCTGAGAGATATAATGGATTTAAAATGGAAAATAAAGATGTATTCTTTGCACAGGATACTTGTACTTCTCAAATGGCCCAAGACAAAGTGAGTACTACCTACCATACAGGAGAGTGATGCGTGTTCTGCTGAACTATGGCTGGCTCGACTGCTACTGAAGGCTGCTTCTCGGATTTACAACCCTCTTAACAGTGGAAAACAGATCATTTTGGAAAACACGTGCTCATATAGAAATCACTGTAGACTGATTAATTTGCAAAATAAATCTAACTAATTATAGGATTATGACCATAACGCTCAACAACCTCAATGTCTCAAAAACTTTTAATGTAACAACACAAGATTAGCAAAGTTGTTGGCTTGCCTGTAACAACTATGCTAGTTTACTGATCTTTAACCATACAATAAATGTTATTTTTTCCAAAATAATTAATTGTGGTTTTATTTTGTCCTTCCATATAAACATAAACATGCAATATATGCAATTGTTGCATTGTTACGTATGTATTACCTGGAGGTGATGATATGTATCGATACAGATTTTATTTTTTTATGTTTTCATTACGATTTTATTTTATCAGATGCCCCACATCCGGTTGTGTTCCGCTAGTAATCTTCCGTGTAAAGCAACTCCAAGTGCTTCTTTGGTTCCTCTATCGCTTTTCATTTGGATGTATCTTAATTTACCTCGTTCTAATTAAAGAATGTATATGATATGCATTAAGGAAACCATACAATATAAGGTTTTATATTTTGTAATAATAATACACACTTAACACGAATGACAGTGTTAACTGGCATTTAACGCTAGCTGCTAAATGTAAACAATACGATGCATCTGAATAAAGGTTCCGACTGATAAACGACGCGGTTCTTCACACGTTCTGGATTGCACAGGTACGTTTAATACCCTTATTCGGTTTAACTTTTTACATATCATCTTATTAAATGTTACAGTTCCGTTTCCGTCATCAAAATTTTGGTTTGCAATGTCGTCGTTAGTGAACTCTTCCACTGAATAATAAACCGTGGCTACAGTAATAAATGAGCTACTGTATGTACAGGACAAGAGGCTTATATGGAGTCCCTCAACACCTTTGAATCTGTGATGGAGACCGACGGACAGGGAAACTACTCTTTATTTCCTGCACTGGACAGTATTGCAAGCTTGTCTGGGGCTGCCGAAACATTGGAGAGGTAGCTGTATTATTATTGCACATAATATTGCTGCTCTAAAATGAGGTTTGTTGTCTGCTATTATATCGGTATGTTTTTTTTTTAAATTATTATTTCTAGTGAAGCTCCCAGTGAAGTTGCTGAAAAGCCAAACCTCACATGGCTTGATGCTGCACAGGTAGAATTGCAATGGTCTTGCAATGGTGTTTTCACATATTACTGAGTGTACTTATTTTGATTTGTCATGTAGATTGTGTTAGAAGAAGCAGGGAGGCCTATGCATATCAAGGAGATTAAGCAGAGAATCATCGACAGGGGACTTGTTCAGTCACAGTAAAAATAAATAATTATTTGTAGAATTTAAAAAAAATGCTTGTTCTGCAGCCAAATTGACATGTTTTCCTTGACAGTGCAAAGTCAAGTTTGGAGGCGGTGATGTACCGTGAGGTAAGTGTTGTGTAAAAAGTGCCGAGTGTCTCAATCTGCACCAAATGTGTGCATTTTTATTTTTGGCTCATTGCAACACACACTTGTATCATATTTTGTCTTTTGTATTCAATTCAAATGTTTTTATTCATTCTCACCTTTTATTAAGATGGATGTTGTCATTGTTTGTGATTTTTTTTTTTTTTTTAGTCAACCATAATCGTCAGGCCATACAGAATCTTATAAATGATAGCTAAATAAACTGGTTTAATTTTATGAATAGTGATTGAATCCAAGAATCCAAATTGGCTTTAGCACTTTCTATTGGCTTCGGTCTCGCATTATGTTTCAGACACAAAAAGGCAGCAGGAGATTCAAGAGGATTGAGAACAAAAATGGATTCTTTGCATTGCTGGTGAGTTGTATGGGACATTTGCTTAGTAATCTTTCAACTATGATTGAAATAAACAAAAACAAATTGTATTGCTATCAGGCTATATAATGGTGTTTCTTCATTCATAGTAGTCTTCATTTCCACTCATTGCTGTAATTAGCTCCTCAGTATCATTCACTTTTTTCTCACTTTGTACAACTATGGATATGTTTGTCCTCAGACCGATGAGGACCGGCATCAGGCCTTGCAACCTTATACGCCGCAGTCTTTCTCTAGTTCTGGTTCAGGCACCTCAGCCCCTGCTTTCCCCTCCCCTGCAAGTTCATCTGAGCATAAGGTCAAGACCAAGAGAGGTCAACGGAAAAACCAAAATGAAAAATACAGACTGAAATACTTACGATTACGCAAAGCAGCTCGGACTATGATATTTGTAAGTGAACGAGTAAAACCAGTAAACCACAACAATATAAAGTTATTTAATATGAATGAGGTACATACTGCTAACATTCTTACTGTAGGAAAATGCTGCCCTCTGTGATGAAATTGCACATTTAGAAGAAAAGTTTATAAGAGCAAAAGAAGAACGGAGGTAAATTCAAACATAAACGGTCTTTGCTTGGGTACACCTATAATATTAAATAATTTCTTTTTTATTTGTAGATTTTTACTGAAGTCACTGTTGCAGTACCAATCAGTATCGGAAGGGGAGCTCCTGCCCACACCCAGTGCTAGCACACAACATCCTCCTGTTCAAAATGTAGCAGTGACTTCAGGCTCTGCTGGGACATCCGGCATTTCAGGGGGACACAGCCTGCCCTTTGTGCCAATGACTGAGGATGGTACAGTAAAAAAGCCCAAGAAAGAAAGGAAAGAGAGAGCCAGAGAAAATGGTAAAGATGAAGGTGAGTGCTAAAAAATAAAGTACAAAAATATGCCAGTCTGATTTAACTGAAAAACTAATATAACTATGTTCTGTAGTTGCAAGAAAGATTTCCAAGAAGAGGAAACTCGCTGATGGCTCTCGCAAATTGGTGCAGCCCATTCCTCTGGACTCATCTGGACGTCCAGTATTTCCAATAGTACTTGGAGGTTTAACAGTTTACAGTTTGGGAGAGGTCAGTATCATTTAGATAGCACATAAAATTTGGTATTTTATCAATTTACTACAAAAAATAATTATATACCAGCTAAGAATGTTTCTTAAATTTGTCATTGAACTGTTTTCCAGATCATCACAGACAGGATGTTGTTTCATGACGAGTGTGCCATTTACCCCGTGGGCTTCTGCAGCACTCGAGTGTTTGCCAGTATGAAGAGCCCTGAACAGCAGTGCCTCTACACATGCCAGATCAAGGATGGTGGAGCAGGTCCACAGGTAACACTTAAGGTCCTGTATTATACAAAATGGATTCTTTAAGCTATAGTATATAGTAGTTTCCTCCTTAAAAACATACCTGGAGTTGTGTGGAGTTGTAAGACAAAATGCTTTGTTCCACCTGGTAATGTCATGAAGCAGTAGTTTTAGTCAAGTAGTGAGGGTCAAGAACTCAGCCGAAATTTGTGTGTTAAATGTGGGTGATTGAAAGAACACTAAAACTCCAGATGTGTTTTTGATGAGAAAATGGCATTATAACATACATCAGAAAAAAGCATATTATAGTTCCTTTGATATTACTATTAATGTATTAATGCTAAGGATTTAAAATTTATTTTTCTCATAGTTTGAAATTGTCCCTGAAGAAGATCCACAGAATGCCATAGTGGCCTCTTCTGCTCTGACGTGTCACGCCAATCTCCTCAAGGCCGTAGCAGCAGCCAGGTATGCATTACATTTGAGTTTGTGTTTTAGTTCACAATGTTGCATGCATGTTTAGATAACTTGTATACCAAATTCCCATTTTAATAATTTCACATTTCTGTAACAACATACATACAATAATATACAACAATATATTTATATCAACAGCTTAAAACCTGTGGTCCCTGTCATACCATCTGGAGCAGACTTCTTTGGTTTCTCTCATCCTACGATACAAAATCTCATACAGAGCTGTCCTGGAGCCCGTAAATGTACTAAGTAAGTCCACCTCTTCAGTAAATTTGACTACTTGAGTACAACTGGGTGAAGTTTTCTTAGAATAAATGTGGTACAATAACAGCCCCTTATTAAAGGGCCCATAATTTGCTATTTTCCTATCTGTTATAATGCTGTTTCCTGATTAATAACATGTATTATACATATATTAATAACACAAATTTTGCATATTTTTTCACTGAATTGAAAACATGGTTCCTCCTTGTGATGTCATGTGGTAATACAGGAAGTTCTCCACTGTTTTAAAACTATAAACCTTCACTAGAATAATTTGGATAAATTTAGTCCTGGAGTTGCCAATCTCATCTGAACTAAAGGTAAAAAGTACTTCTGTTCCACAATATGTGAGCTTTGAAAATGTAGACAGACTAATAATAAAGGGTTACTTAAACATGTGTGAATGAAACAAACCACTGCTCTAGGTATGTTGTTGAGCAGGTAACAATATTATAACAATTTTTTGCATAATATAGGACCTTTAATAAGCATTGTAAGAGTGGGCTATTTATTTAGGCTATAGACTTTGCTTAGTAAACATTAATTATTCAACATGTAGACCAAAGCATATTTGCAACTAGACCAACACTTCATACACTGCGTTTTCAGCAGTTTTTCTTTGAAATGCTGATTCACTTATTTTTCTGCATTGTAAAATGAGAATTGGAGAGGGTTTCTTCATTGTAAATCCAACTATAGGTCATATCATTGCTCACTTTTTTTTTTATCTCTAGTTATCGATGGATACGTTTTGAGGTGTGTCGACCTGGAGAAGGACAGATCGCTCACAGTCTATCAGAGGATGATGCCTCTATAAACTTTGATGCCTTCCAGAGACACCAGAGTTTTAAAGACATAAAGACTGAGCATGTCATAGGTAGCTGAATATTTCTTTACATTTTTGAAAAACTGTATATGTTGTTTTGATTGTTTGCCATCATAAATTGACCATTACTACCACAGGAATCCACATTTACCCCCTTGACTTAAAATTAAGCAATGGATTCAAATCTAAATGAAGTTTCTTACAGGAATATAGAAATAAATAAATTCTTAGATGCCACCTATGTATCACCAGACACTATCTGTACTGCAATTTAGAATGAATTAGTTCTGCAACTCTAAATAATGCATGACAATATACCTGTGGAGCCTGTGTTGAAGATGCAGGAAAAAACATGTGTAATATTTTTTCTTTCCACAGTACAAACTCCTCAGTCACCCAGTTCTTCAAATCTGAAACCTTCCACCTCTTACTACAGCTCCTGAAAATCAGCAGTCACTCATAATGAAAACTGGTAATTTATACATATATAGTATATGGTCAGTTAACTCATCTATTGTTCATTTTTTTTAACATGTTACTGTGTTAATATTGCACTTTTTATTTCAAGATTGATTGTAATTGCTGCTATTTTACAAAATGTAAAGTGCATCATTTCAGCACCATCCTGATTATAACAAAATAAAACAAGCAAAATGTAGCTACTGTCATTGTTTTCTATAAGGCAACTAGCTATTATGATTATCTCCTTCTTTTTATAGAATGTAATTTCCAGGTGTAATTATTTCTATAACAAACCATCATCTACTTTTAGCCCATCACCATTGTTTAAATAATGATCAGTTGCAGTATTTCTTTTCCATCCAGATGATGATTTTAAGTTAATAATGAATGGTGGAGCAGGTAGAGAGGTTTTGGAGCTGTAAACTGGACAAGCCTTATAATTACAGGGCCAGTCTCTCCATGCATAACGAACAGCAGCCACTTCAGATGAGGGACATGACTTTGTAGATATATGTATTGTTGTTTCATCCCACTCCTTCATGGGAGCAGACACCCAATTGGACTTTAGCCCGCATAATGAGACATTGGCAGAACAGCATATCTGGTGAAAAAAATGAAAAACTTGTATTCTTCTAGTTCATCTTTTAGTGTCACAGTACAAACAATTCACCCAGATGTTAAAGGTGGCAAATGGCATCTACATGATCTATCCCCATGAACATAAGCATTTAATGCTGCCCGTTGTAAGAATTTGTTTTCAAAATATTTTCGGAAAACAGAGACAATTGTAATGCCAAATTGGAACATTCCAGGCAAAACCATCAAACTCTCAATATAGAAAAACAGGTTGTGTGTTCTCCACTAGAAAAGTTACATAGTGTACCTTTTTAAATAATATAAAAAAAAGAATAGAAACAAGGTGAAATTAAATATTCAAAGATGATGATTCCTTACCTCAAAGATGTCTTTAGATGGTGTGACTGAGACCTGCTGATCAAATGTAATGTTTACATACATTTGATCGGGTGAAATAAGACAAGGGAAAGGACCTTGGAAAGACAAAGACTGTTTATAAGCCACAACTTTTGCACCGAGTGTCAGTCTGTACGTGACATCCTGCTTATCCCGTGGATGGATTCTGAAAATTAGATTTAGATTAGAAGTATTTCATTGTAATGTAGTGTATCAAACTTCAATCCAAAACATTACTCATCAATATTAAATCTTTCTTACGTTCCATAGGGGGATGTTTCATCAGGCAAATCCATGGTCACGGCCATAAAGGTGTTCTTCATCCTAAAGTTTGGGACAAAGCCGTAGTCTGCGGTCTGGTGCCAGCGTATTTCAGGAAAACCATCATCGGTAGAGTTCTGAAGATATGTGCATAACTATATACAGGACACATTGCTTGTTACAGTTTGACCATATACTTGCATGAACTGTAGCTGGAAATGAGTAATTGTACTACAGTTTTCTCATTTGAAGCATGAAATAGCGTTTTATTAACTTGTACAAATCCAAAAGGAAACTGGATTGCTGTCTGACCCCCTGAGCCCTCGTGGAAAGCTATCCTCCAGTTATCGATCATGGCAGGGAAAGTGCAGTTGTACAAGTCTTTGTGATAGTTTGCATTTGCTTCCCCTGTTGAATACATTTATTAGCAAAAGTACACTACACTATGTAAGCACTTTGTATTGTATTACCTTGATACCAGATTGCTCCTTTAATGGTGAAATTAAGCAATGGGTGAATCATTGCATTCCACAAGACTGAATTTACATTAGGACCAAAAAACCTGGCACAGAAAAGTACTAGTAGTAAAATGCTTTTCAATAGTTTGATTAACAAAATATAAATATGATTTTTGATACTTTTCATCCGGGTAATCAAGGCCACATTTCTGAAGCGCACTGCGTGAAGACCAGGCCTCCACAGGTGTTCCTCCCCAGCTGGACTCTACCAAACCAATGGGATACTTTAACATCTCATAGAGGTAACGGCCAAACAGCCAGCACACAGCTGAAAAAGGAGCCAAATCCTCTAAAAACAAAACAGGAAGAATGAAATAAACATGCATTCAAAAGTATGTAATTAAATATATAGTATAGTGTTAAATCAAGACTTACTTTCATTGGGCACAGACCAAGGAATATGAACTTTAGTCAAGTCAAGCAGCTCAGTGTTGCTCTGAACCAAGCCTACCATAAAAAACCTCACATGTGGATATTTGGATGCTAGGGCCAGCTCGTCCGATGCATTGAATATCTATTTGACAAAGGAAACCTGATACTGCATTATGTTGTATGTATTGTTGTAACTAGGGATGCACAGATAGGTTTTTCTGTTCCGTTACCAATGTTGATACTTTTGCTTTAAGTATCTGCCAATACCTGATATCAACCGATACCAGTGCAAGACAAAAAGCATATGGTAAAAATAATCCAAATTAGTTTTGTAACTGTTATTTCTATTATGAAACATTTAGGCCAACATTGTCCAGTAAATTGTCATATTACACCAATTTATAGACCAAAATAGTTTAAGGACGGAACCGATATCTTGGAAGTTGAAACTTTTCAGTATCAGCATAGTATCAGTGCATCCCTAGTTGTAACACTATTGTTTGCTTTACCTTTGAGACTTCAAAGTACATATTGCTCTGACCACTGCACAGCCACACATCTCCAAACAAGACATCTACCAAAGTGACTGAGGTGTTTTGGGGGTTTGTCAAAGCAGCGGTGATGTTGTATGGGCCTCCAGGTTCAACAGGTTCAAGCATCACTCTCCATATCCCAGATTCTGATTAAAGACCAGAAGATCAAGTATAAGATATATTATATAGCCACTATATTATATAGCCACTATATTATAACTAAAATATGAGGAAACACAGGTCATATGCAACTCATTCAAGAAGAACTAGTTATGTCAGTTTCATCACAACTACAGAAGGAAATTGTCATCATTCCTGTTAGGTTTGCAGTTTGTACTTTTGGAGACGCAAATTAACCATAACCTCACTAACTCCAACTCACTATGTCACAAAATGCTTCTAATCAGTAATAACAATTGTAGCATCTACATAAAAATACCAACTAATTAACATTAAGATACTGTAATTTCCCTTGTGGACCCATAAAGTTTATCTAAGTATAAAATTAGGTTAGCATTAAAAACATATACTGTTTTATATGTTGACATGCTTAAGTTGAATGCACTTCTCCTCATCAGAACGTACCGTTTGAGACACTGGCCAGTGTCTTCTGAATAGTTGGACCTAGTACATAAACAGTGACTTGTGCCCCTTGTGGTCCGCAGCCCCACAGCCCGGCTCTCTCCGGAGACTTTTGTAGCACCATATGATCCCCATAATAAGAAGCAAATGTCAGATTCCCATCCCCACATGACCACTGCTGCTCTTCATACATTGTATACTCTTGACGCTCATGTCCTAAGTGAAAACAGCACAAAATATATATGCAAAACACACTCTTTTAACACTGATCACAAAGACAAACAACGTAACTACTTACTGCTGGAGACAATCGCATTAAACAGTAGAATTAGGGATATTATAAACAATGCGCACATGACGATCACAAGCACTACGCATACATAACAATCACAGCAGCATTTACTGTGTCATGAGTCATATGATTCGTGGAAAAGCACCAGCAAGACAGTAAAATATTTGGACGAACAGGTCGAAGCAGCCACGCGTAGACCTGCATTACGCACGCGCATCTAGGTCGGCGCGCCCCTGACACAATCATAATCAAAATAGGAACTTCAAAATAAAAGCACCTGACAAAATATGCTTATACGTTTAAGTTTTTTCACTTTTTCATTTTTTCCATACACGGTAAGCGCTGCAGAAGGAAAGAAGACGCCAGGCTGAGGCAATTAACAGACAACAACATGAAAAATGGAATCTGGGGTAGAATTAATTATCTGATTGTTTCCCGAGCAGGTGTTTATTTACGGAGGCATTTTTGTGTGATCACCTGTGGAGAAACAAATGATCTTAGCACATTTGTGAGACATCCTATTTACCATAAGTCTCCTGCTTACTAACGAATGTTCTCAGCTGAAAATTGGTTTTCAACTACTTTTCCAGCCTATTTACATTTAATATAGCTGGTGTAATGGAAAAACGTATTCTTCATTATCAGACACATCAGACTCCACATCCACTACAATTCTGCTATGCACTGTTATAACTGTCCCTTCTAATGCATTCAGTGTATCTGTATCTGATTCTGACCTCATAATTTCTTTGTGTAAATGTCCAGTCTATGAGCAGCCCGCTCTTGGTATTACTGAACGACCGTTGCTCCTTCTGTGTTGTTCCTCTTTTGCCAAAGATTAAAACTATTACAAAGACAATTTCTTGACTCAAGGCCATAGTTTTCTCATTCAAATATATACAGACTGGCAATACAAAATTATTGCACAAGTAAAATGAGTTTGAGCTGTTGAATTGAATGTGGATTGGATTATTATGCTTTGGGGTACTCATAAACCCATTATAGCAATATAACCTTTACATAGCCCACGGTCTTTTTTATATATATCATGTACATGATGTATAACATCATGTACATGATGTACATGATGTTATACATGATGTACAGACAACTATCCAAAGTTAATTCTTAAACCACTTTAAAAACAGTCTTGTGCAAAGGATTCTGGAGATGAGTATATTTTACCACTGTACCACTCGTGATAATGAAATTATTAAATCCTGAGGAGGCTCAGGATGGAGGAAAGTTAAATAACATGAAAAAGTAAAAAACATTTCTGCAATTTACTCATTATATTTTGGTACAATAAACCAAAAGCACAGACTGTACATTTCTATAAGTAATGTTTTAATATTTTCATCCTCCAAATATAGGCTGGGAGCTGAAATTATACTCTACAAATCCCGCTTTAGTGATCCATGGAATAGGCCTGGTCTGCCCCATCATCTTTTTCAGTTAATTTTATGCAATGAAATGAGAGATGCAAATATGTTTGTGGCTTCATGCATGAACTAAGATTTATGGCTGCTGTCGAAAGACGTGTATGTCTCTTAATGTTTCAGCTTCCATCCATCATTTAATAAAGCTTTACTATTAGCTCCACCTCCCAGTCGCTTGGCTGCAATTAGACGCATGAAAGGCATCCAGGCATCTTCAGTTAGGTTTATGTCTGCAGCTAAATCTGCTCAATCATTTTAATTGCTTTACTTTCAGTGTGCATGAAAACAACAATGAAAATGCTTCATACACAGCCTATAAAGACATGTATGTTCATAATATAAATCTGAAGGTGTGGTTAGTAGATAAGTGTTGCTAATGATATAAATTCTTTGCACAGGCAACCTTTGTATTAAGACTTGAATGAACAAAACTAAACTACAGGTATGTTTTTGGCCAGGAAACAACATTATAACAGATCAGAAAATAATTGAATATGGGTCCTTTAAGAGTGCCAGAGGAAGTACCAAAAAATTATATCACAATTTCAGTTTTGTACACAAAGTAGCTACAAAGTGCTTCTTCTGAAAGTACATACGTCATTCTCACAGGGCATGGCAGAGTGGGAGTAGATAGGGTAAAGTGTCTTTGTCATGATATATGAAAAAAATCACCAAAAATAGCAAATTACATTTAGTGTTCTGTCCCCCCCTTCTTCCCATTTAATTAAAATATCTATACCTAGTTTTGTCACCTTTTGTGCATTTTGTCTAATGTTTAGTATAGGAATACATAAATACTGAATTCTTGATTATAAACACCATTTATCACATTGTGCATATCCCAAAGCTGCCTCAAAAAGGACTGCTATTCCTCTATGAAAAAAAGCACACTGGCAGACAACAAGCAGAGGTAATAGCAGTAGCTCCAGGGCAGAGGGACATATGACATGACAACAAAGCAAAATGCAAATATATAATTATTAATGACCTCTTCTTTTTTCTGTGGCAAGCCTTTAAATCATCCAGCAAAGCCCACACAGACGCACGCCTCGCAGGGACAGTCCAGACTGACTTTAATAGATGGGAGTATCTGCCTCATCAGCTTTTGTCATTTTCTCCTTTGAAACAAAAAGTCAGTGTGGCATTCCAATTTCCCAGAGAGGGAGCAATGTCATTCTCAGTGTTAAGCCAGCATTTCATATCTAAATATATTTATGGTATATTAATAGGTTTATTTAGTGGATATAAGCTCTATGACCTGGATTACTCTAGGAGTTGTGATGACACACTGATGTTAAATTTTATCCTGGTTTATCTTCTTAAACGCATGCTCCGCTGCAGAACGATGTAGAGTGTATTCAAAGCAGCAGGGGGCACTCTCGCGATAGAAAAGTAAGCACAGCCTATCTGCTCAAGTAGTTAAAACAAGTGTTCAAAGTGAGAGTAGTAGCCAATGTTTTTTTTTAGTAGTTTGAATGTTAAAAATACCATTTCTCTTGATCCACAAGGAGAGGGACAGGTGAATATATGTTTGCCAGAGATAAAACTAATTAATAATCGTTGTGACTGGATCTGTGTGAGCCCGGTGATGATGTGGCTGACGCATGATTAGCATGAGGTTCTAGCTAAACATGGATAAATTTGGTGTTAGCTTACGGCATAAGATCAAAAATAAAAATATGGAAATGTCTCTTTGTGCTTTTATAGCTGTTCAACTGGAAAAGGCAATGGACTTTTGGTGTGTTTGGCTGTTGAAGAGCTTTGACGAGAAAAAAGGGACTACACGTGGTGAGTTTTGCACTTGGTACTTTTATTACATTGGCTCTTTGGTGGTGAGTGCGTAATGTGCGCGTAATTGTGGCTGGCCTACTACAGTGTACGTAACCACTACCACATTACAACAGAAATCTGTTATTCAGAATGAAATTCAGATTTTCACAGTTGCACGCAGCACGAGGACTCATTCCAAATCAGCGTTTTATTTTGGGTGCTCCTCTAAACTGTGTTTTATCTGCCTGTAAAATTCAAATTCTTACTTTTTCACTTGCCACTGTATAATTCTTTCAATTTTGAAAGCAGCAGGGTGAAAATAGACCGAGGATTTTGATTTAACTAGCTCAACCTCCTGCTGCTCTGACAGGTCCAAAAGAAATGTGCTTCACAAGAAGTCACTGAGAAAATGTTTTTAGTTTTTGTGTTTGTGCAGATTCAGAAAGTAAAAATATTCACTATTTATAAATGTTTGCACTAGGGGTGGTTAATAATGCCAAGTTCATAACTCTGTGATTGTTGCCTGACCAGCCAGTCCTAATGTGGAATGATCCAACCACCGCCTCTAATTAGTATCACGTGTCTCTCAAATGCGGAAGACATCTCCTTGAAAATTCTGGTAACATTCACAACAAAATAGCCTGTATAACTTCTTTTTGTCTCTTGTCTTTGTGAAGTTTTGTCAAAACGTGTAGTTATGGCTGACCAGGTAACTGGGAGTGGTTAAATCCACCTGTCAGTCACTCATGACAGAGGCTGATCAACTTGGAAATGTGTCTTATGTTAATTAGGATTAATTACGATAGGACTGCACAGAAACACTGAATTTAATCAGAATAACACATTAGATCATGATTCAGTTGGGATAGACTTTTTATCCAATTATTTTCTAAGCATTTTGTTGCATGGTTTAAACATGGGTGGAAGAAAGGCTGTTTGGCAACTGAATCAGCAGAGACCCATTTGAATAACATGTACAGCAAGTATACAGTGGCTACAAACTTTGATGTTTCAGACTACCAATATAAAACTAATTTGGAAATATAGAACCTCTGCTCTCTTAATTCTATTAGCACACCAAATTTCTACACCATTTCAAGTTCTCTGCCAAAAGCAACTTTTTGTTTAGCTTAAAAAGATTGAACTTCATAGTTGTTAGTGCAAGTCCAATATTAAGATGTATTTTTCTTTGGTTATGTAAGCATTTGTCATTGCTGTAAGGATGATCAGTTTCATAATTAAAGCACTTGCAAATCCAAACTTAAAGGTGCATTATGTGTAACTTCTTTTCTGGTGGAGGGTCCATCAAATGCTTTTCTCATACTATGCAACATTTGGCAGAGCAGGGACATATCCATAAAAAAGCAGGTGACGGATCCCGAACTATAAAGTTACATAGTGTGCCTTTAATATGCTAAGTTAAAGCAAAACTCTGTACATTTAGTTTACTTTAAATAGTTTCAGAGTCTGTGGGAGACCTTCCCTGAAACACTAGTTACACTAGACAAGTGGCTAAATGGCAGTAAAAACTTTGTATGGTAAAGTTGTGGAAAATCATGTTCATATGAGCAATCATATTTTACAAGCATAGTAAATACTTATGTGGTATTATGTGTAGGCCTGTCACAATAACAGACGATATATCGCTACAGAGATATGCTGTGATAACAATAATGTAGAAACTTTATGCCACTGATACAGTAACAATAAAGATAATCCCAATACACCATGCTTTTAATATACAGTATCATTAAAAGACATGAACTGCCACACTTAAATAGCAGAATTAACTTATAATTAGGGTTAGAAGTTATTTATTCAACTGTCTACAGTTCAAATCTTATGTTATTACCTAAATTGCAAGAAATTGTACACGTGATACATATTGATCCCCTAAATATATTATTTCAGCCTTACATATATTGAGTGATTGAGTCAAGTTGATACAGTAATTATCTTGACAGGCCTAATGAAGAGCCAATATACAGTAATTAAATATAGAAATGTTAGAAATTGTCAGAGTGAATTCAACAGCTGTAGACATATCATGTGTTTAGTGATGCTGGCTGGTTAATGCTAGTGTTCAGAAAAGAACACTATTTGAGCAGTTGCCATTAGTGCGGCCCATTCAGGCTCCCACTATCGGGGCTGATAAGCAGATTAGGAGGGGGTGAGGGGGGCCCTGCCTGGATAATGTGCCAGCGTCTTTTAGTGGAGTGAACTGCTGAGGCTGATAATGAAAATCTGCTTCTCACCAAAAGGCTCCAAATCAATTTAGAGATTTGGGCACATTTAGAGAACGCAGCAGAATGGGCTCAGAGCGCTGCCTCCATTTTTACTGCCGCTCAGAAAAATACCTCCCTAAACTGTCAAATATCAACCTGCCAGGCAATCTTTACTGCAAGTGAAAAATAGTTGTTTGGTTTAGCTCTGGAAAATGTCTTATTTTTCTCTGTCTCGTATAAACCCATATGGCTTCACTCTCAAGTTAAGTCTCTGCTGTGATGTTGCAACGGTATCCAATTTTCATGTAAAATAATTGCAAGGCACAAAAGATGATTTTTTTTTTTGTCTTGAAAGAGAACAATGTTTCCCATATGGAGGAAAGGCTATTTGCTCAGCTTGATTAATCTACAAATAGACCTATAATATAGAATGAGGGATAAATTTTTCCAAACAGACACATAATGACAATAATAATGTGTTTCAGCTCCAAAAGAAAATATCCAGAAAACATAAGCTGCAAAAAATAAATAGTGCACAGAAATACAATGTACAATGTGTAAAAGTTATATTAATGAGTCATGTTAATTACAGTATACAATCCTGTACAGTTCAGATGTTAATGTACTGCAAAAAAAAAAAAGTTGCTTCTTGGGTGATTAAAAAGTTTATTCAATAAATATTAACTCCTAAAATTATTGTTCATTGTTATTTATTGAACAAAATGTCTATCCAGTCATTATAATGTGAATACCTACTAGATGCCCTACTATTTTGTTGCAAGTATAAATTCTGTTGGGACTCAAACACCCAACCCAATGGCAAAACAATTACTAGTTTTCATTGTGTAAATCTAAAAAGTTCTCTTGAACTTGATTTACTTGATGGACTTGATGAACTTTGATTTTTGGGTATAAAGAGAAGGGCAGAGAAAGTAATTTGTTTTCTAGTGCTTCTTCTTAATACATAATTTACCTCTTTGGCAAACCCATGCTTTTCCTCATAGATAAGAGAAGAGTGTTGACAGAGATGCCCCACTTCACTGTGCACACAAGGCTGCAGTGTTGCTTATTCTGATGTTTTCTTGTTTTTTGCTGACACACATTGGCTGTCAAGTATAGACTGCACAAATAGTAGGTCAGTGAATCAATCAGCTCTTGTGGGGCCTTTCGCCACTACAAACTCTGTAAAGCCATTCAAATATAAGGATGTTGAAATATCGATATACTGCATTGTGTAGTTGAATTTGGTGATACAGTATTGATATTGTGGGCTGCTGTATCGATATATTGCTGTTAGTATTTCTTGTATATTTGACGAAATTGTTTTATGATCACACTACAGTTTTGTTGCTTGTTTAAAGGATGGGAACTTGTTTATGCAATACATGTTTTGATAATTAAGATGGTGTATTTCATATTAACTAACAAGGAGTGGTTTACCAAAGACGTTTAGTCTCAGAGCCTTGATTTAGTAGTTCTGTAGTGAGCTTTAGAGCAATTAAACTGCACATGTCCCTTTGTACAAATAAATGTTAAGGTTGTATAAACTATGGATGGATAAGCAATGACCAGTGCAACAGTTTGATGTATCCTTCTCATTAGTAACCTGCACTAAACAAAATGCACTTATTTACTTGTTAATCTTAAGTAATAGAGGCGATCATTAAGTAAGGGCCTTTATTTTTATTGAATCGTATCGAATTACTTTAAAATATATCGTATTGTATCAAATAGATCATATTTGTCCTATGTATTGAGGTATGTATTGTATCGGCAAGTTCTTACCCAACTATGAAACCCAGCCCTATTTAAATATGCAGTATATTTGATGCCCAGTGCTTGATTTTCCTATAAAAATACATTTGATTTCTTGATGTCATGGGGTCATCTTCAGCACATTATTTTGACTTTTAACCTGTCTTGTGTTGTAGATTCGCAATTATGTGCTTTGATGGCGACCTTTCCAAAGTTCACCTTCCTGGGCGTAATTTCTCATGAGGCAAATGGACAGCATAAACATCAATTTGATGCAGAAATGGTGCATTGTTTACCATTTTTCTGTTTTTCTGTGACAAATTAAAGCCATCAAAATGCTAAGTTTGGAAATAATGGCCAATGATGACACAGCTGAGGGTTCTTTAATCTCACATGGCTATAATTTAGTATTGTTGAAGAAGGTTATATTTGACATTTTGACAGTTTGACATATGCTGCTGTCAACTGGAGTGCAGTGAAATTATAAGATGCAAACAGAAGTGTGCGCTGCATATTAAAAATATTTTGTTTGTCTAGAGGGTGACCAGTTTTAACAAAAATGTATATCTTAATTAAAAAAAATAAATTGGGACTAAATGATAACAAATATGCTGAAATAACCACATATATTCTTGTTTGAAAGAATACAACATAAATTGTTTCTATTTTTATTAAGCATTTTTATGCAGTGTTTTGACATTTTTAAATTACAAATGTTATACCCAATAATTTGATTTTGCTATATTCTCATGGCAACATTAGTAATACTTACTTTCCATACAATTTAAAGAATACATTTTATGCATTCTTGTGGCTTTAATTCTCTTTTAAACAGGCTTATGGATTCATGGATTAATGAAACAAGTGAATGTGAATGAAACTAAATACAACTCCAGGTATCTTTTTATCGAGGGGACAACATTATAATTAAAGATCCTATATTACTGACTCTTGTGAGCTATTAGTTGTATTATAATGTTGTTACCTCCTCAAAAACATACTTGAAATGGGTTTTGTTTCCATCCATCCATCCATTTTCGTCCGCTTATCCGGGGCCGGGTAGCGGGGGCAGCAGCCTAAGCAGGGACTCCCAGACTTCCTTCACCCCAGACACGTCCTCCAGCTCCTCCGGGGGGGGTTTGTTTCATTTACACATATTTGAGTAACCCTTTATTATTAGTCTATCTCTATCTATATCTCTAAAATTCTACCTTGTGATGTGATGAAGTGGTATTTTTCAAGTTAACAGCTACCTTTTACCTTTTGTTCAATAGAGACTGGCAATTTGAGAACTAAAATTGTCACATAGATCAGAAAATAGTGGAATAAGGGACCGTTAATTGTTATGTGTATACTTTAAATATGGCCCAGTAATGTCAGTTACCAGTGGCTTGATCTTGGCTGCCTAGTTTGAAGATTTTTCCTAATTGTGCATGCTGTAAATGTGTGAGTAAGAGCGCAAGTGAGTACCCAGCTGAAGGGTTGACATTTTGAGCATGTTATAGGCTGAGATCTGGATTTGTGTGATTTTTGGTATTTCGTCATTTCATTTTAGACCTGTGTGTTTTCAGCTCCAGTATAAAGAGGCTGCTGATGGCTCCTCCTTCCTCTGTAGCAGCTGGTGTTGATTGAACCCACGCGCCTTGAGGAGGGGACAGGCAGATGCTGCAGTGACGAACAAAATGATAAACCGTCTGTCAGTGAGCGCTATTGTACACTCACACACCCACCCAGACTGCTCTATGGTAATTGGAAGCCATATTTCCCAAAACGTGGACAATTACCTCCAAATTTTGTGAAGAGCACCTCAGTCTCCACTATGAGAATCATGCCACTGTGCCTCTTCAAATAATACTAATGACTAAGAAATCTGGAGAGGTCTATTTGATTTTGATTGCATGCTGTATAATGTGCGTAAGTGGAGCCTCTGAATTCTCAAGTGTTTTTGTGTGCATCTAGAGATTGTAAAATTAAAATAGGGTGAATCTTGCCTAATCCCATTTTAGTATGTGTTCTCAGGTGGTTACGTCCAGTAGCAATCAATAAGTAAACATAGGGGTAACTTGTAAGAAACATGCATATGTCTGCTAGTTTGCTTCTTGACTTGATTTGTTATCATTTTGTACTTTATAGAGACTTTTTAGCGTTTCAGATACCAGAACTGATATTCTGGTGTTGCCTAAAAAATACCCATAAAGCTTATTTTAACACTTTATTACGAAGACATACTGAGACTACACAGCTTTCTTAAATGTTTGTGGTAAAAGTGTGCTGTGCATGAGTTTGAAGTAATAATCAAAGTCGCCTCTAGATATGGCCCAAAAAATATCAACTGAGTTTATTGGCCATTGGTTTCTCTGGATTCTGAACAATGTACAATGAACATGAAAAAACCCACATTGATTGATCTCTAGTACTATGCAGTGTGTTTTTAGTATTGGTAGTGTACTAAACAATACCAAAATTGCTAACTTGATTTTGACTCTAAAGAATAGGGTTGATACTCAAATCTATCTAATACTTTGAGTCATATGTGCCTTTCACTATCCTAAATATATTGTTTTTATTGTTGATTTCGGGAGTTAGTGTTTGCTGATCAGATGAGGACATACATTCCCAGGTGTATTTGTGTCTTGGGTTGTAGTTTTCTTGATAAGACTTTAGCTGCAACAAGGGTTAATAGACATCAGGCTTTGATCAGGCATGAACTAAACAGGTCAGTGTTTGATCAGATGAAGCCAGTGCGTCACAGTTGGGGGCCCTGTGCATTCGTGTTTTCTTTTGAACCAGACCACCAGTTGTAGCTCTCGAAGGACCGCAATGAATGACTTTGTAAGTACGGCTTTGATTTTGTGCTAATGCTTTTGGACTATAAGATCAAACATGAGAGTGCTGAGGCGCCGTGGCAACCGCTGCTGCACAGTTTATACAAAGTCAGAGGATTTACTCCACATTGACAAGAAATTTGACACAACAATGATGTAATGACACAAAAGTGTTGACAATTTTCTGCTCTATTCAAACATTTGACAAGTTTCCTTTGAGCCACACCTACTATAGATCTACATTATTGAGGCAGGGGTTCTACATTTGGCCAGACAATTATGGAAATGTTTGATGTGCAGTATGGACAATATATTTTCAGGCCAATGAGAACTACATCGAATTTATACCAAGAAGACTGTAATAATTACTGAGGCAGCTGTAAAAGCTTGGTTGTGATTATTATTACTTCAAACAAGTGTTTTTGCATTTACAAACTACTACGCAATTTATAAGTAAGTAATTTAAGCAATATCCATCCATTTTCTTCCCCTTATCCGGGGCCAGGTCGCAGGGAGAGCAGTCTTAAGAAGGGACTCCCAGACTTCCCTCACCCCAAACACTTCCTCTAGTTTCTCCAGTTGGACACCGATGTTTTCCCAGACCAGCTGAGAAACATAGTCTCTCCAGCGTGTCCTGGGTCTTCCCTTAAGTGTCAATTTACAAAAAGAAATAAAGTGATTTATCAATATTTTTTCCTGTTCCTTTAAGGACAAAAGGAAAATGAGGCCATTGACTAGTGCTTGCTCAGATAAAAAAAATACCATGGATTGTAACAGGCTATAAGATAATGGGAATAATAGCACAATACAATAGCTTAGGTGTTCTCAACCATTGCATTAGAAACAGCAGTGTGATAAGCCATAGATAAAAAAGGTATGGACAGAACAAGCAGATGTTGTCAGCGTTAGCACAAAAGGTTTATTTATAGAAGCATACATGATGAAAACGGGCTTGGTTACACAGTGTGGCTATCGTCCATGGACAGTCATCACATTGTAGGTTAATGAGGACATACAACATGCAGACCTCCACCTTCGCCTGTGATATTGGCCACGCTGCTTCCTGGATGTAGGAGCACTGTGTAAACCTGAAAGTGTGGTGTCAGCATTGTCAGAGAGTAAACAAGAGCATTAAACTGTTAAGAGGAAAGCGATGGTGGATATACAGTATGCAGAGGTAAGAGTAGAGTAGAGTGGGGTAAATTGTTACTTCAAGATAGTACTGTGTAACATGTACTCAAGTAATTATAAATAATAATACTGCTAATACATCAGGCTTATGTAGCACTTTCTAGAAACTTGAAGACGCTTTACAACAATTGGAAACAGTAGAAAATGACCGTAGAAATCATGGGGAAAAGCCAGATTGAACAGGTGAGTTTTTAGAAGTGATTTGAAGTGCTGTAATGAGTCATAGTTCCTGATGAGTTATGGGAGTGAGTTCCAGAGGGTCCCCCAAAGTCCGGTGCTTTGTCCTGATGAGGGCAGTGAGGAGGTTGGTGTCGGCTGATCTGAGGCAGCGGGTGGGACAGTGCTGATGGAGGAGGTGAGGTAGGGATGGAGGTTGTGGAGGGGTTTATAGGTGATGAGGAGGACTTTGTATTAGATGTGGTATTGTACAGAGGGCCAGTAGAGTTGGTGATGTGGTCTCTGCAGTCTCTAATTATGCTATTAACTGGTTAAAAAAAAAAAAACATTTTAAACAGCAAAAAATGTAGTTATTCATTTGATAAGGATACTGCATATTAATGAACACATACAATGTGAATATACCAGCATATAGTAAATTCTTTCAATCTATTGTCAGAGCAGATCATACATCATATTAAGTAGAGCCCGGCCGATATGGATTTTGCTGTGGCCGATATGAAACCGATATAATGGGAGTTGGAGCTACCGATAGCCGATATAATTGCCGATATATTTAGTGATGTAAAAATTCACTGTAAATGTTGAATTGTTTAAAAAACTTAGGTTTGTCTCTGGTGAATTTTAAATTGGGTTTATTTAGGCAACATTTATTGTTATTCTACCTCTTTACGTCATATTTACAGACAGTAGATTGGCCTAATGGCATTTTTGCATCACATTCTAGCAGCTAGTGGTGGGTATTCCAGTTTTTTTAGAGAACTGGCCCTTTTGGCTCGGCTCACTAAAAGCTTCTGGTTCTTTCGGCTCCCAAGCGGCTCTTCAGATTGTTTTGTTGCAAGCAGGTCTAAAGCAGGACTAAACCAGGTGTTATGGCTTCTAGTTTAACATGAGCTGTAACACATGTAAATAGCCATCCTTAGGGCGTCCGCTTCTTGACTCACACGAAATGTACAAAAACTCACGTAGTCCGTAGTTCGTTTGATTTCTTTTATTTGCAGATTTTCAGCGTATGCAGTTCAGTGCGGTCAAAGACCGTGTCGGTCGCCCTCCACAATGCCATTCTCCCCACACACCTGTCTCCCTATTTGACCTGATTATTTGACCTAATTTACCTACCTAGGACACACCCTCTTACGTGGACCCACCCTCTTACGCTATAAACCAAAAGACAAACTAACTTAAATTGGGACTGAAAATAAATCATTTTAACATTTCTATAATTTTAAGAATAATATTTTAATAATTGTTTTTAAGGTATAATAAAATATGAATTTATGGTAAAATATAAAATAACTATTTAATAAATTAAATTATGGCTCTAACACCAGGACTGAATCAGGACTGAACCAGGTCTAAACCAGGACTGAAAAAGGACTAAACCAGGACTAAAACAGATCTAGACCATGTGTAAAACAGGACTAAACCAAAACTGAACCAAGACTGAGTGTTGGGACTCGGTCTCTATCTCGTGCCCAAGATTAGTCCTGGTTTATTTATTTTATGCTAAACTACAGCCAAATATGCTCTTTTTCTTTATTCTATGTACATGCAAATTTCTCAAAATTTCGTTTTTAGCCGCTGCCGCTGTCAAAGCACGAGTCTGAACGAGATTATTGCGTTCATTGAATCCATGTTCAATGTCCATTTGATTCGATTGTGATTAGTTGTACAGCCATAGTAAGTACTTTGTCAGTATAACTAATTACTACCCTGCACATATGGGACAGAACAGTCCTAGAATAGAGGAGGAGTGGGTAGGATCAGGTGAGAGGAAGGACGAAGAAAGGAGACATATAAGAGACCATAAGAGATGGTGGACAGGAGAGGACAGGAGGGCCCAGCAGAGAACAGCACTGACTCATCATTATGGTAATAGAGAGCAGCCCAGCCACACACACTGACTCACCCAACGTGTTCTCAGAGAAACAGTGAATGTCACTGCACTCCCTGGAGGACAGGATTATCAGAGCCAGGTTAGAAAATAACACAGCGCTTGGTCGGATTGTTTGTCTGCAGTGCTCCAGACGTGTCAGCAGAAATGCTCTCTAGCCAAAGCCATAGGAGGAAATGTATAAGCAAACAATAAAAATAAAATAAACTGGGTAAAAGGGTAATTTCAGTATCCTTGTATATAGGCTGCAAAATATATTGAAATGGAATCAAACTTGCAGTTTGAGTCAGCACAATTATCAAACTGCAAATGCCGCAGTTATTTAGATAATAGAATATCCTCTGCAAAGAACAAGGTCAAAGTCAAAAACATGACTTAGTTTAATAATCAATTTTATACAAAACAGTTTTGGTAGCCCTTTGATGTATTGGCTAGCATCAAATGTAGTAGCTAAACCACTAGCTACCATGTTTCAAATAGGAAGTGACTATGCGTGAGCTTGCGCCTCCATTGATTCACTTTGTGTTGAAAAAACATCATCCCTGTCTCTGTAACTGCTATTGTCAGGCTCCTCATTTTGATCTTAAACTATATTAACCTGCTTTACATGATC